GTGAGAGGGTGCAGCACCTCCCTCCTCCAGCCCCCCCAGCCCAGAGGCCAGACCCTTTTCACCTACAATCCTGTTTAATAAGGGAAAAACCCCCACAGAGGAGTCGCTGGGATTTCTAAGGTTTTTCCCCTTTGCTCCCCGACTGTAAAGGCAACGAATAAGCACACTGACACCGCGGGTTATGAATTATTCTTCTTTTAATTTCACATGGTTTAAAATACGATATGAAATAAGGCTACAGTATATAAAAAACTCTCCAGCAAAATGATGTGCCAGCATCAGCAATTAAAACAAAACCAATCCCCTCCTTCTTTAAGAATTCAATGGAGGAGGGACTTTTTTTTTTTGTATCCTTTAAAAAAAAAAAAAACCAAAACCAAAACAAAACACAACACACGGACACACACACACGTCGCTACATCTCTAAGCTACCTCAGCTCAGTTTTTTTAAAAAGCACCTGCTTTTTCCTTTTTTTTTTTTTAATCTCGCTTTTAAAATTTTTTTCCACTTTTAAAAAATATAAATTATATGAAAATACAAGTTGGAAAATAGTCGAACAGCACAATATAACAATCTCTTTTTTTTTTTTCTTCTTCTATGTTTATCAGCTTAAAAAAAAAATCCCATGTGTAAAAACAAAACAAAACCAAAAAAAGACTTTTTTTTCTTTTTTTTTTGTTTTTTTTTTGTTACTGAGGCAGTTAATTCCTGGAGATATTCCATTATAACATATATGTATACATAGATTTATCATTTATTTAAACTTCTTTGGAATGTAGACAACAGCTCACGGATGTTATATAGACCCTACCAGAGAGCAGAGCACGCCCAAGGCATCCCAGTTCCGAGGAACAAGCAACCAAGCCCCAAAGCCTCGCAGAAAACCCCTCCAAGAAGAGCAGAAGATGGGAGACGCTTCCCACAGCACTGGAATCTCTCGGTGCTTACAGGGACCTTCTTTTTATGGAGGAGGTGTTGGTTTGGAAAGCTGTGAGCAGGTTAAATCACAGGACACCTATTTTTTGCCCCGTTTGGCCATTTCTCCACCTGAAGGATCACGTTTGGAGCGGGATGGCGGCAGCGTGGCAATAAAATGGATCGACACTTGCACACACACGCACACGAGCGTCCACAGGTTACGGCCAACCGACACACAGAGACGGAGAGAGACAGGCAGCGCTTTTCATCAGGTGTTTGGGGTTTTTGTCCTTTTTCTGAAGCCCAAAATACCGACAGCTGAGGCCCCAGGGAGCTGTTTGCAAGCGCTGCGCTCCCACGGAAGGGCGCAGGCTCTGCCAAGGGGACATGCCCCCCCGCAAGGAGAAGAGCAGGACGCAGAAAACATCCCAAAAAATCACCAAAAGCACCTGAGACGTTCCAAAATGACCCAATTTCCAAAAGCCACGTGTATCTGCCAAGGGTGAAGCTCGCCCCCACGCAGAGAAACGACCACAGGAGCGAGTCCCACTCCCGGCAGATCTCCACCATCCCTCTCAAACCCATCCTTCTGGTCCAGCACGTGCCTGAGGGTTAAGCAAATTTTCATGGCCTCGAAGAATAGGAGGTCAGAGGGTTCGGGTTCCAGCACATCCCTCACTAAAAGTCAACAGGCGATTAAAAAGCAGAAAGAAAAAGGAACACAACAAAACAAAAGAAGCAAAAACAAATCTGCAAATTTCCAGTGTATAAACAGCACACAGCCCTCTCCGGGATGGTCTCTAGATTGGGAATAAAAAATAGAGGAAAACAGAAAACGGTGAACCTGATGTCCCTAGGACTGTACTGCCCTTTTCCTGCTGCACCCGCACGCAGGCTGCGCGCTGGGATGACAAACAGCCGTGAGAAACGATGGAGAAGCTCCAGCCAGGGGCTACTTCCAAAAAACCGAGCTGCTTTCCACGACTCGCCCTTTCTGACCTTTAAACCGTCTTCCCAAAATCCCTGGGAACACACAGGTTCGGCTTGGAAAGCTGGAAAAAATAAGCAAGGCAGAGCGGATGATGGATTTAGCCTGGCGGAAGGATGGGGTTGGTACCCGAACCTGCGGTCCCTTCCGTCGGAGGTAAATTTTATCCCTGTTTTCTGCTGAAAAAAAGGCACTTCAGCTGCAGCAGAGCATCCGAGGAAAGCAGGAGCCACGTCCTGGGACACGGCGTGGTGCCAAGGGTGCGTGGCCTCCTGGGAGCACCCTCTCTAAGGGTGTAAGGGGGATTTTTCGGAGCACTGCTAGAAGGTAAAGCCAAGGGCACTTTGCAGCTGCACGCAAGGCAGCAACCCCGAACGCCTCCGAATCCCCATCTGCCCGCTGAAAATCCAAGCCCTGCGGCGTGTCCTGTTGGGGTGGCCTTTAACCGCCCCTCCCCTGCACCCTTCTGGGCCCTCACATCTCGCTCGGCTCCCTTTTCAGCCTGCTCGGCGGTAGAGCTCTGCCCCGGTGCCCCGCCAGCGGAGGGGCCTCATCCATG